CCAGCCGATAGGACAATTACATGCGAGTGATTGGTCAATCGCTCATAACACACACACACACGCTCATAACTGGTGCTCTGCTAGACATTACCAAAAGCAAAACCCGCTGTCCTATTTACTTCTCGTGCTATTTTTTTCGCATATCAAATGATTTGAACTCGGCCAAATACGTTTCTGTTTTAGATCCTATGACTAACGCCCCGTTTGCAGCTCTGGGGAATGAATCCCATCTGAAACCCGTCAATCCCACTGGTGCCCCCGTGCTCATGCATAAACCGANCAAGCTATCGATATAGTTTCCATGACTATTTTTTTTATTATAAAGCTTTCCGATAAAATATAGTCTTCCCTCAGTAATGCCTAACTCTTAAGAATAGTTGAGCTATGTTGGTTGACGCACTTCCTCTGGAGTAGATGCCAACATTCTCATTTGCGTGAAGTACCCAGATCCGCATCATATCCACCTCGCTTGACTGAATTCGAATTGTTGCGCGTGCCAATCTCGATGTACCGAGAGTGTGTGCTCAATCAATTTGTTTCCTGTCTTCCATCTCACACAGCTCATTGGCGCTACGTAAGTTTTTATATCGATACGTTTAGTGTTGAGGAAAGTGAAAACCAATGAAGAAAAAGAGCGGATAAGGTTATCGTTGCAAAGATGAAAGTGAACGGTTACACTCTTATATACATTCGAAACGCGAACTGTAATCAAAGATCATCACAGAGTACAGCTCAATTGCGATAAATGGATTACAGACCAGAAATCCACAGCTCAGAGTTTTCATTGAAGACACTCCCGAAACCATTCAATTGGCTAATTCACTGGATTGGACATGAACGCGTCGAAAGCTACTCCAGTCGGATTGATGACGAACCAGTTTACAGAGTATCTGTGACCCAACCCGACAGCCCATCGAAAGATGAACTCGCATTAGGAGTTAGCAGCGAAGACAGGATAGTTTTGCGACTGCGGAACACACTATGGAGTCTCAGTGAAATTAGCCTGCACAATGTGATGTTCGTTAGACCTTTGAGCTTCCACGCTTCCTATTCAGGTCTATGGTTATGAGACCTATCCACCCCCAAAACTGCAATAAGCGGGAACTAGATGTTTTTAACTATTGGTTACTTCGGTACATCTTGAAGTAGCAGTGTTAATAGGGGAGTTTCAATCAAACAGTTCCACGATGATGCATTGACACTCAGCAACTGTGTTTTCTGCAGCGCCTCCACCACCATCTCCCGGTCCTCCTATGGTTCGGATATTTCTGAAAATGTTCCTCCAGCCAACACTACTTCTGGATTGGAACTGCATCTTAGATGGTCAGCTTAAAACGTGAGCGAACACAATCATCGACTTTCGTTGCTACCTGGTGATTGTATACTATTGCAGAAGTTTGAAAATGAGTAATTGAAAAGAATTATTCGCTTCACTGATCCTGTCAACAATCATAGAGGACATAGATTAATTGGATCTTAAAAACATTTACGACCTACAGGAATTGAACAGGAGTTTGATATCAGGGACCTTTCCTTAAAATGGCACACATCTGAACAGTAGCGATTCGAGACAGCCAGGAAGCCGCTTTCTCTTCATGCCAGAACTATAGTCACGTGAGAATGAGGAAAGCAAGGAAGCAATTACGTAAGTGCAACATAGTTTGGACGGAGAAAGTGTTAAAATACGCCAACTCTTTTGCTGTAACGTTATAGTCCGGAATTGGTGACACTAACTGCAGATGGAACCATATTACTCATATCGTTTATATAATCAGATTAGTGTTTCTATGGGTTGTTATTCAGCTTTCATCCACAGTTTTTAGCCGTCATATCAACTAGGTTATCGAGTAATTCGCGTCTCAACAACCAATGCGTGGCTTTATTTTGGCAGTGAAGAAGGATAGGAGGGCGGGGGAGGAGACCGTCATTCAATGTAATCTTGCGTTACTTCGGTCTTTCATCGCACATGCACAAAGGTCCTTGATAGCAAGTTGATTGGAGATTCCCACCTGGTCTGATTGGTTGTTAAATCAATGAAAGTCACCTGTGTTCTTTTTTGGTAGGTTCATTGTCTCACCCCATCCCCCACTCCGGATAGAAACCGCAATAAGTTTGTAGCTGAATAAAAATAAAAAACTGGGATGTACTTCAGTGTTAATCAGAAAAAGTGGATTTGTAAAAGCAGAGAAACCATTGGCGATGGCCAAAATCCATGCGTAAGGACTCATTGACTGCAAGGGAAAGCTAAATAGTAGTTGAAGGAGAAAAGAATTCAATTCCGGTCTTGTCGAGGCGTATTATGACAGTGATAGTTTGAATGATTGCGATAGTTTCAATACTCCTTATTTTACTAGACTCATTCAAAATGAAAACCAGTGCTTAAGTGTGAGATTACATCAACACTCACGAAACCTCCGTGGCATCTGCAATTCATCCTCTGTTTTTCCATTGTCTTTGGTTTTAGCAACCCGATCCACAGCGTAAACCCTGTCCGATGCACACGTCTACCATCGCTCCCATCGCATTAGAGACGCTCTTATCTATTTCTCATGGACGCCGTCTTCATTTGTTCGGACCGGAAGCAAACAGGAGTGCGAAAACTCCCCTGCATGCCTCTCAGACCTGCGGACCGCTTGCCTCAATCAACACTGGTCCAGTGTCCACGAAATTCACCCCACCGAAGTCAATCGGGGCTAGTGTGCCAGTTGAACACACCTATCTAATCATCCGCTTACCTTGGTGCCAAACCACTAATCCAAAGAGCTCGGGCGTTGGTGTAGCTTCACATCCGTGTCGATTCAATTCGGCGGTCGCTTGGATGGGTGGTTCATGCCCGTCGTACAAATTTGCTCTGCGCACACCGTGTGTTTTGGACGCGGTACGTCTTACGTGAAAGCAGTTTGGGGTGTGTTATAAGTTTTCATAACTTCAGTACTATCATCCATGCTTGAAATGTTGTGGATTCCGAGTTCATTGTTGACCTAGTCCACTGTTACACTGAAAAGTTATCGTTCAGGTGCATTGTTATATTCACGTGACTGTTTTCTGACAGAGAATTATTAAGAAAGGCTTGAACCTGTGCACGTCCTTACCCAGGAACATGTTTCTAGCCCCACTGGTCAGTTAAACATAATCACTTGACATCTGCTAATTGTTATGTACTTCTTTACTTTCACCCAGTAATTCGTCACTCTGTTCGCTGACTAAAATGACAGTTAAAACGACCATCAAAATGTTTCACATGTAGTGGAATGCACGAAACCGCTCGGGAATGTGTGGTTTTGTAGCCCTGTAGATCAATTCGTCAAGACAGGCTGACGGACCTCCGTAGGTATCGCCAGTTGACTTATCCTCCTCCGCCTTTCATAGCCGATCATTTGGTGTGACATCAGTCATTTTGGACATCTTGATTATCAGAACGCCATCCGGGAAAGGGAAGATAACGGTTTACCGCAAAGCAACACATACGGACCAAATTCTGAACTTCAAAAGTAACCATCCACACAACCATAAAATATGCTGTGGTAGAACCCTGTTCAGAAGAATCCAAACGCACTGCTGCAGCGACTTACTGGCTACACTCGCAACTTCAACGAAAGAACTCTGAATCAAAGAAAGAAACAACAGACGGAGAATCGGGAACAAGAACAACCCTGCCACAAATCAAGGACGTTTTAGAACTGACAGCAAAATTGCTGAGATCATATGAAATCCATGTCGCCTGTTACGGGAACAATAACAGATATACGTACGACAAAATTTCAATCGCGCTTAAGGACTCTGTGAACAATGCACAGCTAACTGCAGGAAAACAATGCGTAAGGTAGCACAAATGAGCTAAGTCTAACGACGGCGGCTAGCAGTAAACAGCGATTCTGTGAATCTAGACTAAACGCACGGTCTGGGTAGAAAAAA